TTAAAAGTTGTCCCTTCCGTCCGAAAATCGCGGATCAATCCAAAAAAGCAAAAGCTTTCGTAGCACCAAAATAGTATGACACAAAACGACAAGGTATCTTTGAGTTTGAAAAAAAGCGATTTTCAGCCGTTGCTAGCTTTCTAAACTAATTAGTATTCTACTGCAAAATTGTGATTGAGGATTTGGCTACAGTGCACACTTATTAAAAAATTATAGCAATTCTATTTGCAAAAAGAACATTGATTCCAGAAAATTATTCAAGGAAAAGATAAAGTCACTCTGAATGACGCCTGGATGATTTGTCGGTTGATGTTCTATATAACAATCAGAATGAGCTAAACATCTTAGAATTCTTCTTATAAATAAACTAGAAACATCCGGCGCGACGACGAAAACTACACATCGTCTCCCACCCTACGTCCCCTTTCATCGTTGCGGAGGGCAAGTTGTTGACAGTGTGGGCGCACGAGATACCACACTCTCTCGCAGAGAATGCGGACCGCGGGAGCGTGAGTGTATACGATGAAACTTCTATAGCGCAGGAGAGCGCGAAATGAGAGAGTGCTTATGAAATCGTGGATTGATCGCCGCCGGTAATGCCGAATGTGTTTCGAAATTACTGAAGCCGTGACTCATCTCCATTTCGACAGTGAGATGTCATCATCGTGAACAATGTCGGACATCGGCGTCGCATCATTTTTGCTATGATATTCTCAGTTCACAATTTTTAGGGTGAACGGTAAAAAATGGGACACTTACGAAATAACTGGAGATTTCTTGAGAAAGAGAAGTGATCAGACATTTCAATTTTGATAGATGTTGGAATATGTTATTTTCTTTCAGATAGTATGACGTCATTTGCGTAAATAATAATTCTTATACTTGCTGAAATGCTCAATCACTTCGACAAATCATGAACTTTGAGCAGTATCTGCGCAGTGAAACATGTGAGACCACGCAAGTACCACTGCTGGAGTGGGTGGTGGGACAGTCACCGAACCCACGATGGCTTGTTGACCTCAACTTCCAAAGTCAGGAGATATGGCCATTAGCATCTTCGAGAACGAAGATACGCGTTATTCAATTCCTTCCAGGTGAACCATGTTTTCAAGGTAACTTTTGATAGAGCTTTTTACGCTCTGTCCATCCATGTGCAGCTTGCCTCAGATTTTATCCATTTTTGGAAAATATAGTGCAAAACATAATTTTTGGTTCTTTATTGCGCCAAAAATAGCTATTTTTCAGTATTTTTGCTTTTTTTCTGAAATTGAAAAGGAATCTTAGGCATTTAACATATCGTTTAAAAGAGCACGAAAAGCCCTTTCGAAAGGTCTGTCATTTGCTTTACGACTTTACGGTATAGCAGTGCAAGATTGAGAGTTGTTCAAAAAACCCTGTCGGAGTTTTTCACGACGCCACGCGTACGGTTATGAGAGAGGAGCGGTAACGCGTTGCCAGAATAATAGGCGAAGGTCGGTTATATAAGCAACGTTTGAGTTGCAGCCTGCTTGTCATTGGTGAGGACAAAAAATCTTAAAATGTGATAAAAATCAAGCTGTCCCATTTTTTACCGTTCACCCTAACACAATTCTCATCACCAATCACAACAAATCCCCGCTACATCATCACTCTTCCCGCTCCAGCCGCTGAAACAGGTAGACTTCATTTAATTTTCTCAAGAAATAGTCATTAGAGGTCCACATTTTGTTAAAAAAAAGTGGTAAAAATAAACTTGAAGAGCACACATTGACGACAAGGCCAATTTTTCGATTACTGCCATTTCGGACAGGAGCCTTTTTTGCTTTGCCAAACTTACGACCCACCCGTGGGTCGTATTGTCCGAAATGGTAGTCTTTTTGGAAGAAATTCGGAACATGTCTCCGAGAATTTCCCCACAAGGGTTATCGAACGCGCTGATTACCAAAATATGATTCATTTCAGTTTTTGGCGTTATACGGTAAGGTTAAGGTAGTCATTCTGTACGAATCCAACATCATGGATTTTCATGAAAATTTGTGTATTGGGGTTATTTCACGTGCTGATCACGATTATAGTGTCTACTTTGTTTACTACATTCTCACGGTGAGACTACGGCAGCAGTACGGTAGAATTTTCGTAAAAGTCAAGAAACTGATGTTAGAAGATGGTGTCAATAAGACTATCATTTTCGTAATCAGCATGCTACAAAACCTATATATGCAAAGTTCGAGCTTCCTAGGATGAAAAATGCAAAGAAAACCAATAAGATTTGAAATCGATAGTTTTTTGATGGACTAGCGTCAGCCTCTTGCCTGCCCCGTATTACTCTTACATGTAAACTTGATTCTCCAGAAACAGTACCATTCTACGAAGAATTTGAGCTAAAGCTTGTGCCTTGTATATATCTACCGTACACCTACCGTAACATTACATTACAGTACCCCGAGCCCGGACCACTCTGGCTGGAGTTTCACCTAAGTGCCCCCAATCATGTGCCAGAACCCCGTAGAATTCCGTCGTACTGGCAAAGACAGCGCTCCATGAATCTTACGACCCACCGGTGGGCCGTATTGTCATCAATGTGTTAATGGCAAAAATACACTTTTCGCAGGCTTTCTTTGTGGCTGGTCAGTTTTTTGAGTGAAAAAGAGTTAAAAACTCGATTTCGACAGAATTTACACCACAGAAAATGCCTTTTCTCCCGGAATGAAGAACCAGCATGAACGCTGTGGTCTCGCTGGTTGAGCTCCGGCAGGCCTTCTATGTGGCTGACCAGTTTTTGGAACGAAAAGTTTTGTTTTCCCCTCAATTTCCACCAAAAACGATAAAAATCTCGATTTCGACCGAATTTCAGCCACAGAAAATTTGCTCCCAGATTGAAGAACCAGCTTGCATCCGTTTTGGTCAACCTTATCAGGGAAGCAGTTATTATAGGTTTTTAGCGGTTATAATTTTAACTGAGCAACGATATAAGCAAGCTGCATCAAATAATTGAGTTCTGGTGATGGTATCTGGAGGAAAATATCAGATACTAGCTGGCTTACCCGGCTCCGCCGTATGTTCCGAATAGAAAATTCCATTTCTAAATCGATCCGGACCAAACTTGGCACACATACCCTTCGGGCCCCGGCGGGTGTCACAGTCCACTTTTCGTTATCGATCGATGTCGATTTTATCGATTTTTTGCAAAATTTGAGCTACGGGGCTGGGAGTTGGCACAGGGGGGTAAGTGAGCATGGGAATTCCGAATACAATATTAGTTTTCGAAACCGTGCATTACTTTTATCGATTTTATCGATTTTTTGCAAAATTTGAGCTAGGGGGCTGGAATTTGGCAGAGGGGTGTAATCGAGCATGCTGATCACCCCCGTGGGGGCGATCAGCATGCTCGATTACCCCCCCCCCCCCCCTGTGCCAACTCCCAGCCCCGTAGCTCAAATTTTGCAAAAAATCGATAAAATCGACATCGATCGATAACGAAAAGTGGACTGTGACACCCGCCGGGGCCCGAAGGGTATGTGTGCCAAGTTTGGTCCGGATCGGTTCAGAAATGGAATTTTCTATTCGGAACATACGTACAGACAGACAGACAGACAGACATACATACAAACAGACATTCAGCTTTATATATAAGATTATTCTGTGTCTACCTGCGAAGTTTGATTTTTCGTTTAGTAAGTTTTTCTAAAAAGGAGATGTGAACACCGTTTATACTTAGATGCAGTCCCAACTAAGGAAACACTAATGTGCCTGCTCCGACCCACTTACAGCGATCCGTAGGGTCGCTAGTGATTTATAAATTTCGCACACAGTAGACATTGAGTTGGTGGATACTTTCTGTCAAATTATTGTAATTTTAAAATCATTCAGAAGCTTTTCGGAACATACAAAGTTTCATATTGGGCATGACAGTGCCTGCATAGCATAAGCCAGCATATTTGCAACAGTTTTGTAGACACATTTAATACTTTCATTTTTTTGATTTTTTCAATGCATCTAGACGCGCCTTTCTTTTATAATTTGTGCAATATGTGTTTCAGCACTGTCTCAATCATGACAGTATTATGATACTGCTAGCATGTCAAATCAAGGGATGAGCATATCGGAAAGGTTTTCAAAATTGGCGGAATTTTTCACGTGTGCATCGTAAAACATTCGTTAAGAGGTGGAAATAATTCTTTGAGTATTCAAAGTGTTTTACCTGGAAACATGCGAGCGTGCGCCCATATGGCGCATCATCAACTCAGATAAAGGTGTGCAGCTTCAACTTAGATTTATATTAAGCGGATCCGAATGCTCTTCATTGCCGTAGGAATACGGAAGCGTAAAACGTCACTGAGGATTAGCCGTGTTTCACGGTTTCAAAAATTCACTAAAAAACCGGGGTTCTCACGCGCGCTATCCTAACTCGGGTATCCAAGGTTTAGGGTTTTAAATGGTGCAATCGTACTTCTGGAAGGCATTGTAAAAACAGCTACCGCGCTTTGCCTGGCATTACTTATAAACGAATCATTGCAGTGAAGTGCAAATTTCATGTTTACTGTAGAGGTTCTGATTAGCCCAATTCAAAAGTTTTTACGTTGGTTGGTTCGCTTTCGGAAGTATGGAGCCCTCAGTGGCTCAAAATCCTTTCAGATATCCTACCGTATTTTACAGTAAAGAGGATCTCCCTAGTTTTTGCTCCAAATTGTAAAAATAAGTTGTTTAAGTTCTTCTAATAACATGGTGTTTAAGGAAATGCGAAAGTTCCATAAGAAAACTAATTAAGTAACCTTGAATAAATCTGACATGTGAAAAACAAGAAGTAAGACTCTCTCATGACTTATATTGTACCGATCTCCCAAATTCGAGGTACTGCACAATACATCATTTTGAATGGTGTAAATCCCATGAGGAGTACTGTCGAATAAAGGAGGAAGATAAAGGAAAGTGAAAAACTCGGTTTTATTATTTGTAACTACATATGACGCAGAGTAGATTATCCGAATTAAATTTGCTTCACTACACCGATCTGCACCAACCTGATAGATTGCTCAAGTCGAGATACTGTCAAGAATGCAGACAGATTTGCAGTATAAGAAGAGACGGTAATGAATCCAAATAACCACCATGTGGCAGCCACAATTCTTCCAGACATGTTTTTTGGGGCCTCTCCTCCTCCTGAATGTGTTGTCTCAGCAGACGATACAAAATCATTTGCGGTCCACGACTGATTGAAGCGAAAGCTCAATGTATGGTTGGAGCATGATTTTATGACAGGAGTTGAGGAAGTAGTACTGTTTTAAGACGCCTTATATATTGCTACAGTGGCTAAATAGACAATAACGAACTTTATTTCTCTCTAACGTCAATCCTTTGTTTTCGATTATCAACTTGTTCTTGGCAAGCTGCTTTTTTCTTTTTACCTGTCAATCATCACTTTTCCTTTTCAGCATCCACATTGTTTTCTCCGTCCTGTTTATATTAGGTTGTCCCGAAAGTTTTGTCGGTTTTTTCAAACCACTATCTAACCACGCACAGTAAAGGCCTGAATGTGTTTCAGAATGCATTCGATGCAGCTTTTTCCTCTGGCTCTTATGGTTACATTGTGGGACCGCAATCCTGTGTGCTTTTCTTGATAAAAGCCACAATTCTTCATTCGCCATTTTTATCTGCTCAAAGTTACTAATTTTCAGGAATTTCATTTCAAATTTTGGACAGTGCTGAGTATGGAACAAATAGAGCAATCCTAGGACTTTACGGTGATATTTTTAGACTCTCCTAATCTGCTGTTTTTAACTCTAAAAAATATTTCTTCGGAACCCTCGATTTTTGACAAAGTCATGAAACACGCAGCTGCAGCAAAAACATGAAAGCTTTTGAAGTTTCTGCGAATTCAAGCTTGATTGTTATTAAACATTATTCATGCAACGTAACCAAGTTTGATTTGCTTCAAAAATCAACTTTTTGGAATTTTCGGTAATCGTACGTGGTAAACGTATCTAAAAAGCCGGGGTTTTTCTCATTTAAATAATTATTACGGACTTGATAAACGGTACAATGTAGCCAAAGGTTTGCTCTACATAACAGTCACCACCGCTTTTTGCAAATATGAGGACAAAAGATTTTTGAATTTAAGAAAGATTTGGCTTGACTGCTGTGCTGCTCAAAGAGCCATTGCGATAACATCGCAAAGATGGGTTAGATCAGAGAGCAATACAGCAGTAAGAAAGAGAATGAAACTCTGAACAGAATGGTACCTAGATCGTTTATGGATTGGTGTTCTGTGAGTTTTGGTGAATGAGAAAAAAACCGACAAAACTTTTGGGACAACCTGATATTAAATGTATCTAGTTTCTTCGCATTCTTTGATTTGAATTTTCGTTATATTAGGTTGGTTCATAATAAATGCACGTCTCCTCAACTTCCACTTCTAATGAAAATAATTCTTTTCCAAAACAATCTTTCTGAGCGCAACAAAAACTATTATAGATAACAAACTTTTAGCTAAACAACGTATTCTTTTGTGTGATTGCACTCATCACGGGGAAGATTTTACGGCTCAAAATTTACCGAGAATTTTTCTGGAAAGCTCTAGTTTGAAGGAGTATAACCAACTCTCAAAAGAACTAGATTGGAGCAAACTTTGCTCATTGTGTAGCCGATGGTCGGTTCAGTAGTAGCGTGGAACTTGGCTTTTACCAAAAATTTTCTGCGGAAAAAATATTGCCAAGAAAGCAAAAATACCATTTTCTTCTGCATTTTAGAGAAGGCAAAAATCCGTATTTTTTAGATTTTTCAATTTTTTCTCATTTCAAAAACGAGAAAATTCTGCCGTTTTCCTATTATTAGTAGTTCTTGGTCTACTCTACCAAAACCAAGTGAAAGTTCTGTAATTGCTTCTCATGTAAGCATTTTATAAAGCTCCGAGTGATCCCAGCATTAAGCTAAGTTTGAGTTAAAGCTTCTCGGTTCAGGATTTCTAAAAAAAATTTAGCCTTGGTGAGCATTTTGTAGCACAAACCTTCGCGATTATAAGATACATTTTTCGAAAACAATTTGAGCATCATGGAATTAGGGCAAGTCGAATGAAAGGAAAAATTTTAGTTTGAATTCCTCACCTTCAAAAGCACGGAAATTCGGTCTTAACAAAGATCTCCGAAAACGAATGTAGGTCTGAAAGTGAAGAAACGAGCTTTCCGATAGTGTAGATGATTTTAGAGAGAAACGTTTTTTGATTGAAAACTGGCGTTTGAAAGAAGAGGTAGTTTTAACGTGTATTAATTATGAACCGACCTAATATTTCGTGCTGTAATTGATGAAGTGTACATATGTGTTTGCAAAGTCTTTGTCTCCTTTAGCAAACATTTGGTTTTCTCAATTCAAGAATATATCGAGAGGAAAGTCTTTGAAGTTTGAAAATTCTGAGAATTCAAGTACGCAAACAAAACAAACTTCGACAACTTTATCACTTTAGGTTTTAGAAAAGTCGGCTTGTTCAATAGATAGCCGATTGCCATAGCTGTCATAAACTGCTCAAAAAATCTTTATAATTTTGGAGATCCATTTTCTTGAATATGGGTTTCCTTCTGACATCTTTTCAATATCAACTTCAAGAATCTGAAGGAAGTCCAAAGAACGAACAAAAACGGACAATCCGAGAAGCAAAAGTGATGTTTATGTACGTAGAATCATCGAATTGATCGGCCATTTACTCAAAATTGAGAATCAGAGGTAGCGACATAAGTGCGCGAAACGAACGCCATGGCGAAAACGGCTTGCTCAGCCAATTTCCAAAAAATGCGTCAAACTGCATAACTGATTGTTCGGTTGTTTAGATTGTCGCCATTTGTCGTCAAATTGGCGGACTACCATCTGCAGGAACTTACGACTCAGATCCCACTTCAAACACTCCCGTCCTTCAGCAACCTGACCAAAGATCTGTCCTAGTTTTTAGCATGGTTAGTGCAGGTAAAAGATTCTTTAACATAATAACGCCGTCTTCCTCATTTACGCTTTCGTGTGCTAAATCACCCCAATGAGACAAAACGAAAGAATTGACCCTATACTTGTAAATGGATGCTCTTACCTTGTGGGGTCAATGAAGTCATGCAGAACCACAAGCATTCTTTGAAGCTAAACACACGTTGTACCTTATTAGGAGCCCTGCAAAAGGCAGCAAATTAGTGCTGAGTTGAGCATTTTTAAATATTTACTCGTACACATTCAATATCAAGCGGGTAGGCATAAATCTACGAAAGATGTGGCGCACATAACACGTAACTTTTTTATCGAACAGTTGAGTTTAAGTGAATACCTAGCTAACAAATACAAATTTTGCTAATTGTTAGGTTGGTAGAATGTACCATTTTATAGGCCCTTTTTGGACAACTTTTTACATCAAAGTTTTTCAGAACACTTTCTGTAAAATTGAAACTATTCTCACGACTTTGTATCAGGGTTCAAACTAACTTCTAGCTTCATCTGTTGCAATGTCACAGAATTCTGTTGCCTACACTCTCGGCCAGAAAACTCAAACGCAAATGATAATTGTTGGATGCATAGCCACTGTATGTAATAGACATCGTCTACACATGGCACACTTAATTATGTTTACCGAGCTACTGAGACTGCAAAAGTGATGGATGGGTAGTTGGGGGGCACTCTATGGCCCAATTTTTTTTCTGGAAAAAGCAATCGCCGAAAAGTTTGCTCCATACTGTTTGCATGAGAGGGCGACATGTTGCTTCATTTTGTGGCAAAACCTGCTATATAGTAATTGCATTTGGACATTTACGTAAATTGGGACTTTCAGCCTCCCACAGACTCAAAAAGGTTAATTTCTAAATTCCATTTTTCGCGGAATATTGAGGCTTTTTTTACTATTTTACTTAGGCTACTTTTTACTATTTTTTTTATTGAGGCTTTTTATCCTTCCTATTTATAAAGCTGAATGTTTGTCTATATGTATGTACTAACTGGCTTACCCGGCTCCTCCCGGCTCTTTTAAAACACTATAATAAAGCCCTCATCCCTATCCTTGTACAATCTTTCCCTGTGCCCACGTCTACATGCCAATTTACTATTCCCGCTGTTTTAGTACTTAGCATGCTCGATTATCTCCCTATGCCAACTCGCAGCCCTGTAGCTCAAACTTTGCAAACAATCGACAGAATCGATAAAAGTAATGGACAGTTCGAAAACTACTATTGTATTCGTAATCAGCATGCACACTTACTCAGACAATCGCCGGGGGCAGGACCGGAAGAATAGATTGCTGATCTCTCGCACCCCGCTCGCGGATTTTTTGGAAAGCAATCAGGACTTTTTGGAAGAGCGCTTGCTGAGTTCTCGATTCCTCAGAGATTCAGCAATATATCTGCAAAAGATAAGAGCGAAAAAAATTCAACAGGCGGTCTCTCAAAAATCCGCTGACTCAGCAAGCGGTCTTCCGAAAAGTCCTGATTGCTTTGCAAAATCCGCGAGCGGAGCGGAGTGCGAAAAATCAGCAATCTATTTTTCCGGTGCCCGCCTGCCCCCAGCGATTGTCTGAGTACCCCCCCCCCCTGTGCCAGCTCAAACTTTGCAAAAAATCGATATAATCGATATGGATCGACGACGAAACCCACCCCGCCACGAAGTGTATGTGTGTCGAGTTTGGTCCGGATTGGTTCAGAAATTGAATTTTCTATTCGGAACATACGTACATACATACAGATAGACATACATACAAACAGACATTCAGCTTTATATATAAGATGTCTTTGGTGTGTACCAAGTGAAGTAGGGTAGACGAAGTAGTGTGGAATATTTATTCACACTGGCGTAGATTAGTTGAGAGCGATCTATAATACAGTCGGGGACTCCTTATATACACGAATAGAAGGCGGAGCTTGCACGGGTACAATGTACAACGTAGGAGGGGTACATGGCTTAAAAGGAGTTGCCGCCGTTCGGCTACACTCCCGGTGCACAGGTGCCAATCATTCTTGAGTGATTAGATACTCAAGAATGAGTGGCGTACAATTCAGCCTATGGGAACTCCATAGGCGATGTGGAAAATGGAGTGGATTGGGTTGATGATATAGAAATCATCAACAGTCCAATGTCGGGGTAGTTGTAGACGTTGACGTACGAAGCTTTCTCGCTAGCATTCGTGAAGAGTACTCCGTTTTCGTGTGGGTGGTATGCTAGGATACCAGAGATGTTGAATACATGGCTTTTCGTTCCGCATCTCATTGAACATCTGTCGTCATAGTTAGCGACGGTCGATTGAAGTAGAGCAACTGTCTGCACTGTGTTTTCATTGCAGAAAGCAGCATAGATGTTCTGCGTGCACGTTATCTCCACCATTGTCGGGTGCGGTGAATGACAAGAGAAGGTAAGTCGTGCACCGGTCACGCAGTTGTAGCATCCTTGAATCGGTGAGGCTGTGATGTCGCAGTCTTCATTGTTGACAACATTCGCTGTATTCCATTCCGCAGTCGTGCTGATAGTGACGTCGACTATGGATTTGTGGCTGACTCCAAGTACTCTTCCATGGGCTTCTTGTAGATGTAAGAATGAGGAAGAGAGTGGCAGTCTGCTATCCATCGATGTCGTCAAATCCGATATGTTCGTGTTCTTGCAGATACAGTTAGCTTGGTCATCCGTCGGGTAGCACTTGCAAGTGTCTTCTACATGGCAAAGGGAGAGGTTTTGCGAGCTTTCCATCGTTGGACATCTGAGAGCAAATACGTCGTCTTTGTCGACCAAGGCAGTCTCCGCTTTGGTGGTGTTGACTGCTTGTAAAAACACAGAGCTCAGCAGCGGAATCGTCGGCGTTGTCACGAATTCCAGTGTGAGGTTAGCGTCCTTTTGAGTATGAGTGGTCTGCGCAGTAATTGTTGCAGTGTTCGTTTCCCTTCGTCCAGTCACACTTGTGTAAGTGTATTTGATGATTGCTGATTCTTCCCAGGTTGGACAGTGGAACACTTGGTAAATTGTTTCACTTTGCGGTTTTCCATATGAGCGGGAGAAGAGACATCCAGGTAGAGGTAGAAGGCAACCACATCCGATGCTTCCACATGACGAGGTGCACCTTGAGTATCCAGGAAATTCGTAGGTGTTGTGAAGTTCAGGTATGTAGGATCGTTGGCTTGTGTGAGCACATGTGTTAGATGAGCATGATCCAGAGAAATGGCATCGTTTTGCTGACTCGGTCACTATCTCGGCATCTCTGGTGTAGAACAAGACTACGGGATTGCACTGGAGCAGGACGTGTTGAAGTTCTATCTCCATGCTGCCAACTGTCTTGTTATCATGTTGAACCCTGAAGCAGGCTTGAGGTCGGTGCTCACTCAGAGTTATTCTGTTTTCTATAGTGTAGCGACAGTTGAGTGTGTTATTGATCCTCGTGCAGACGGTGTTCCTTGACGTGAGTGTGTGAGTGTATTGGCATGAAGTGACTCCTGTGATGAGACATACTGCAATAGCCACAAACGTGATCATCTTCGATTGGATTGGTAGGGATCGGGATTGTCTTCCTAGCAGCTCGGAAAGTCGATCATTCGCAAAAGGAACGTGATTTTCCGTTGGCATGTTGTTCTCGTTAGTTCGGCACAGAAGCTGTTTTCCTCGAAGTCCAGTGCAGCAAATGAGCCGGACGAGCAGCATCATAAGGTATGCGCAAACTGCTGTAATTGCTATCGCAGTGTTGGGGGCGCAGTGTGGATTCCAAAGTAAGTCTGCACAAACTATGCATTTGATCATGTCGCAAATGTCTCTTGGTGGGCAAATAATGGTGTCGGAGTACTGTGTTGCTCCGATCATGGTGCGCCATTGAACTCGATGTTCTGTTGCGCGGTAATTCGTCGAGAGTGCTATTTCGTTTATTCCTTTCTTCGTCGAAATTTTCAGACAATCCTTGTAGTTGAGACATAGTTGTGATTGTGATTCCGAAGTCGTGTTGACTTTCACTCCATGTTCAGAGCAGGATAGCACATTTGCGGATGCCGTATCAATGAAAAGAAGAGCTGTTAGGCATATTGTTATCATCACTGACTTGCTGATTTGTGAAACGCTTCTCTTTATGGTGGAGGAATTAGAAGATGCGTAGTCTACAGGCTTTTTCGCAGCTCTCTGTGGTTGCTTGCGAGGTTCAGGTGCAGTTGTTGGTTTCTTCCTGAGCGCTTTTCTAACCTTGGCCACTATTCCTCCTTTTTGTGGCGTTGGATCCTGTCTCTCATCTTCGTTTTCTATCGCTGAACGAATTTCTAAGGGATCCATGCGATTGAGAGGTCTTTGAATCTCTCTTCCAGATGTGGTTCTTAGAATTGCGCTTCTGATTTCTCCATCTTTGCTTGGTACGAGTTGTGTTATAACAGCCATGGGCCAGTGTCCTCTGTTCAATTGTGAGTCTTCGTCAAGCAGTACGACGTCTCCAACTTCTGGTTTGCGATTTGTGGTTCTTCCATTCTTGAAAACATGGTGACGGTCGCGAAGTTCAAGGAGGTAGTCGTGTTTCCAAACACTCCAGAACTTTTTCGTTATCTTCTCGGTTTCCAGAAGAGCTGTTTTGGCTTCCTTTTGTGATGAGAGTTCTGGACTTATCCGGTAATCTGGATCCTGTACATCATTGTCGGCGGGTGTAAGTTGAGTGCTTCCAAGCCGAACGTCCTTATAGATGAAGTCCACTGGTCTCAAGACTTGGCAAGAAGGATCATCTTCGCCTATGTGAGTCAATGGTCTTGAGTTGACGATGCTTTCGATTTCACATAACGACGTTTGAAGAAGTTCGTCTGTTAATTTCCGTCGTCCGATAGTCTTCTGCATTGCTCTTTTTACTAGTCCAACCATTCTTTCCCAAACTCCTCCCATCCATGGTGAAGCTGGAGGAATGAAGTACCAGCTGATGCGGTGTTCGGCAAGGAAGAGTGATAAATGGTCGGAATCATCATTATAGACGTTGTTGCTGAGTATCAGTTCACTGAGGCGGAAGTTGGTTCCATTGTCGCTAATGATCTTCTTTGGTACTCCTCGTCGTGCGATGAATCTTTTGAATGTGAGAAGAAAGCTTTTTGCGGAGAGGTCTGTAGCCACTTCCAGATGTATCAGCCGAGTGACTAGGCATGTGTATAGTGCTACGTAGCGCTTCTCATCTTGTCCATTTGGCGCTTTGATCAGTATCGGTCCCATATAGTCGACTCCCGTGTAGGCGAATGGTTTTGCTTGAGTCACGCGTTCTCTTGGAAGTGGGCCCATATCTGGATACTTGAAGGGTGACGAATTGAATTTCTTGCAAGTAATGCAACTTCGCAGAACTTTCTTGCAAAACACTCTGTCTTTCGGTATCCAGTATCGTTGTCGAAGCTCGCATAAAAGCTGGTTGTTTCCGCAGTGAGCCAAATCTCGGTGGATGTACTCGGCGATCCTAAGTCCCAGTACACTTTGTTTAGGTATATACATGGGATTAGCTATCTCTGACTGGATTTCAGCACGTTGTATGCGTCCACACTTTCGTAGAATTCCATCGCTGTCGAACACAGTCTTGAACTGTTCGTTTTTAGAGACGAGAGCTGTGCCGTAAATCCGTTGCTCTTGCAAGACGATTTGCTTTTCAGCAAAGATAACTTCAGCTGCATTTGGCGAACGGCTTGTCACTTGATCTTCATCTGCGATCTTGAAGCGGGTATTTTTGCTTGCCTTGCGGATGAAACGTAGACAGTATGCCACAATTCTCTTCAATCTGGGATAGCTGCTTATTGTATCAACTGGCCAGTCGGATTCGCTTTTGTTAAGATCCTCTGTAGTATATTGAATGAGCATTTCGCACTCGTCATCGTCAATGTCTTTGACGTCACTGATGGAACGTACTGGCCATTCCTCGTTGGGGTAACTGAGCCAAGTTGGTCCTTTCCACCACCTGCAAGCAGCGAAATCTTGCTTGTTAATTCCTCTTGTGGCACAATCCGCGGCATTCTCTTCCGTTGGGACGTGGAAGAAGTTAAGTTTGGCTGTTTCTCTGATCCTTTCTGCGGCGAAGCTGATTTTCTGAACCAGTGTGGTTACGACTGGTGGAAGCTTTTTGTTGCTAGCTATCCATGATAGTGCGATCGTTGAGTCGCTGAACAGGTTAACTTCTGTGAATATTCCGCATTTTGACATGGTTGTTTCGGCTACAGATAGTCCGAGAAATATTGACAGCAGTTCTAGTCTCGGAATAGTTTGTTCCTTCTTGATAGGCGCGACCTTCGCTTTTGCCGTGAAGAGTGATGTGTTCTTCGTACCATTCTTCGTTGATGTAGTCGTATAAAGACAGCAGGCGTAAGCTCGTTTGGAACTATCGACAAATACAGAAAGCGTATATTTGGCCTCGGGAGTCTTGTTCAGCACTGTGCGTGGTATGGCTTTTTTGAATCCGGCGATATCTTCCTTGATTGCTTTCCATCTCTGGATTTGTTCTTCAGGGAGGATTGTGTCCCATCCTAACTTTTGTTTGTGTATATCCTGCAGGAATATCTTCGCCGGTATTATCAAGGGAGTAAGCAGTCCAAGCGGGTCGAAACAGAATCCGTTTATTTGGCTGAGTACAGATCTTTTAGTGACCTTGATTTGTCCTTTGTCTGCACATTTCATGATTAAGGTGTCATCGTCAGCTTTCCACTTAATTCCGAGCACTTTGAGTTCGCAGCTTTTTGCTCTATCCAAATCCTTGATTTGTGCGTTTACTTCGGCAGAATCTGACAAGTAGTCGCGGAGGCTCATTCCGATAGAAGAGAAGAGCTCTTTTGAAGCAATGTATTTCTCTATAAGCTCTTGCGGGTTGTTGCCTTCTAACAACACATTGTCAACGTAGAGAGACTTAGATAGTTCCTTCGTAATCGGAGTATCCTGCTCTTCAATGTGCTTGAGTATGGACTGATTCAATATAGCTGGGCTTGCATTAATTCCAAAGGGAACCCGGCAGAAGCGGTAGTATTTGACGTTATTGCCTTCGGCCGGCATATTCAGGTCCTTTATCCACAGAAATCTTGTTGCATCTCGATGGTTTTCGGGAAGGCGTATTTGTAGAAAAGCCTTTTGGATGTCCGCTACCATTGTATGTTTGTATGTCCGAAAGAGCAGTAAAATTTCATGGATGAGAGGCGTGAGAGCATGTCCCTCAAAGACGACGTCGTTGAGGCTGAGCTCGTTTCTTCCGTGGGATGAAGCATCGAAGACAATCCGAAGTTCGGTTGTCTTTCCAGGTGTCCATACGTGTCGATATGGAAGGTAGAAGGATGTTACTCCTGCTGGTTGTAGAGTACATTCCTCGATGATTCCTTCCTTGATGTAGTCTTCAATGGTGCTGTTGTAGAGCTGAAGCTTTTTGTCGTCGCTTCGTAGTGTCCGAAGGAGAGCCTGCAGCCGGCGAAAGGCAATGTTGAAGTTGTCCTTGAGTTTGCCAACGTTTTCATTGAAGGGGAATCCTGCTGTGATTGTGCCTTCTTTGATTCTGATAGTTCTTCTGTAGTCATCCATGAATTTGATTATAGATGCTTCGTCGGGATCGTTTTCGGTTTTTAGTCCTAGCGATTCAAGCTCATAGAGGTGTTTGATGTCCTGCTTGTAGTTTTCTCTTGGTGAGATTGCCGGGGTTGCTACCACAAGTGAACTTCCATAAACTTCAGTTGTGCTTGCTGTTGTCGAAACTAGGCTTGTCCCGGATATGGTGTATCCGAAAACGGTAGGAGTGAGAATTAGTCCCGAAGGAAGTGTCAGTACTGGAGCAGTATGGTCTATGACAGTGTTAAGTATGTCCTGGCCAATGAGGATATCAGGCGAGACGCTGGTCCTTGCAAGCGTTTGCTGTGCTATGTCCAAGTTCTCCTTTAAAATGTATAGAAGATCCGCCTCAGTGAGAGATGTGCTGTATCCAGGTTGGTCGTGAGCTTTTGCTTGGTGTGTACAGACATCTTCTTCAGTTTTTTAGGTCCTCGTAAACTCTTCAAGGTAATCAAAACCTCATTTGAGTTGAAAACTTCTTGCAGTTCACCCATTCCGGATGTGGTGAACGACGTTGTTCGGACGATTGGAATCTTGAATGTTTCGCTAAGGTTCGACTTGATGAAACTTTGCGCTCCTGAGTCCAGAAGTATTGTTACTGGTTGATAGTCCCATTGTTCTTCATTGAAAATCATCGCTGTTGCAATTTGAAGTACGCACTGGTTGTGAAGGAGTGGGGCTTTGTCCACAACAGAGATTTCACGTCCATTTTGTGAGTTTTGTGCGGCTCGTACTTCGTTCGTCTTAGGTCGGTTGCGTTGACTGGAGGGTTGCGGTGGTCGATTTGGTAGCGTTGGTTGGCGATCCATATTTGCAGGTCGACGTGAGACTGCAAGGCACCCGTTGTCTTGCTTCTTTGCATCTGAGAGGCAGAGAGACCCATGGTGTGAGTCTTTGCATTTAGGGCACACTCCAATAATTGTGCAGTCCTTCGAAGTGTGATTCTTAGCAAAACACCTCCAGCATACTCTTTGATTTCTTGCCTCTAGGCGTCGTGCTTCCGGGGTGGTGTATCTTTGGCAGGTATATGGCGAATGCGACTGCCCACATAAACACAGACGTTTTGGTTTCGAAAAGTGATTCTCTTCTTCCCATCTTATTCTGTTGCTCCTTCCATTTTGTTGAGCGTCTTGGCGATGACTGGTTGGGAAAAGAGTTTCCGTTGTAAGCGAAGTGGTTTCCCGCAGTGAAATAATGCCATCGATAGCATTTAGGATTTCGCCAACATCAAAGGGATCATCTTGTATCGCTTCTTTTTGGATGGCGGTCGTACAAATGGATTCGGGAAATTTGGAGAAGATTATCCGACGCCAAACTCGGTCTGCGTTCAGCTTCATGCCTGTTTGTTCAAATGGATGATCCTGGAGTTGATTGCTTCAAAGGTGTCTCGGCAACTCTTCGGATTATCAGACGCCCGTGAAAGCTTTTCGATCTCATTTATGAGTATGTCTGCCATGTTGACCTAACGATCGAAATGCTTTTTCACGATTTCTATTGCTGTCTCATATTTTTCTCCAACAACGGGGATGCAGCTTAGAGTGGCTGCTGCTTATCCCTTTAGAGCTTGTTTCAGAAACAAGAATTTGTCCGTGTCGGATAACTCCTCGTCGCTGTGGATAAGTGATTCGAAGACTGTCCAGAAACTGTTGAACTCTCGGAAATTGCCTGAGAACGTCGGAATTTCAAGCATGGGCTTCCGAATTTTGATCTGCCTTCCGTTGCGTTCTGGAGTTCCAGCTTGCCCAACTTCGCTACTTGGCTGACTCGGTATGCTCGGAGTACTGCAGTGCACAAGCGCACTTTGTTCCTTGAGTTCATGTTGTCGGAACTGGATCCTGTTCTGCCACTGTACTGTCATGACCTCCAGAGGAAGAGACTCTAACTCGAGGTGTTTGCTGAGTTCAGTCATCAGCTTTTCTCTCTCTTTTTCCTCGTTTCTTGAGCCGACATATTCAATTGCGGCATTTACTTGAGTGTCTTGAAGTCTGACGGCATTTTGGAGAGAATTGAGCAAATGCATGATTTCTCCCATTTTCCTTTTGATGTATGTTTCGCATTCAGTCTTGTCCACAGGATAAGTGAATGGTGTGTCAATTTTATTCACTTCCGACTCGTATGATTTCACAAGTGTGCAGGCATTGTTGATTTTCGATTTGAAGATTTGGAGCGCTGCCATTTTTGTATCGCACAAAGTTGTGTTCGGTGCTTCCGTTAAGTGCTGATGGCGAGCGTCGCAACGTGAGATGCGTATCCTTGTTGTAGACTTTAGAGGACGACAGCAAGGCTGGCCTCTTGTAACAGCTGTCTATACTGGGTGCAAGGAAGCCTTCTAGTGAGCTGGCAATTGAGTGCCGAGCTTCTACTAGCTGTCAGCAAGCGTGCCTGGTTGGCTTGTACGCTGTACTGGACGGTGAGGTGTGTTGAACCTGTACCGTGAGGATTGATAGCAATTGAAGCTCAAATTCTGGATGAACTTTGAACTTGTTAGCTATTGCCAACTGGTCCTTTACTGATCTCTGGTCGTCTTATGTAAAGAGAGCACAGAGATGTTCAATTTGCAGTGGTGTTTGTCTTACCAAATGACGCTTTTACTAACTTCTGGTCGTCTTACGAAAAGAGAGCTCAGAAGAGTTCAATTAATCAATGGTGAGAAGTTCTTCAACCGGGGCTTTTACTACTTTCTGGCCGTCTTACGGGAAGAGAGCTCAGAAAGGTTCAATTAACCGGTGAGAATTCTTGAGCTGACGCTTTTACTAACTTCTGGTCGTCTTACGGGAAGAGAGCTCAGAAGGTTTCAATTAATCAGTGATTTTCTGCCAACTAACGCTTTTACTACCTTCTGGTCGTCTCACGAAGAGAGAGCTTAGAAGGGTTCAATTAATTAGTGGAGAAGTATTCAGCTGGGGCTTTTACTACCTTCTGGTCGTCTCACGAAGAGAGAGCTCAGAGGGGTTCAATTGACCAGTGAAATTTCTTCGGTTGACGCTTTTACTACCTTCTGGTCGTCTCACGAAGAGAGAGCTCAGAGGGGTTCAATTAATCAGTGAAGAAGCCTGCCAACTAACGCTTTTACTAACTTCTGGTCGTCTCACAAAGAGAGAGCTCAGAAGAGTTCAATTAATTAGTGGAGTGTCTGCCACGCGGGTCTTAGGCCTTGAATTCCCGTTCCTTAGGTAAAGGAGTCGCTCAGGAATTGCAAGGAAGTTCCCGGCCGATGCACCAATTTGGTGTGTACCAAGTGAAGTAGGGTAGACGAAGTAGTGTGGAATATTTATTCACACTGGCGTAGATTAGTTGAGAGCGATCTATAATACGGTCGGGGACTCCTTATATACACGAATAGAAGGCGGAGCTTGCCCGGGTACAATGTACAACGTAGGAGGGGTACATGGCTTAAAAGGAGTTGCCGCCGTTCGGCTACACTCCTGGTGCACAGGTGCCAATCATTCTCGAGTGATTAGATACTCAAGAATGAGTGGCGTACAATTCAGCCTATGGGAACTCCATAGGCGATGGGGAAAATGGAGTGGATTGGGTTGATGATATAGAAATCATCAACAATGTCTGTATGTATGTTTCCAATAGAAAATTCCATTTCTCAACTGCTCCGGACCACTCGGCACACATACACTCAGGGGCGGGGCAAGCGTCATAGGCTACATTTTGTCATCGATCGATATTGATTTCATCGATTTTTACCTGCTTTTTGCAGGTTTGACCTGCGGGGCTGGGAACTGGCACAGGGGGTAATCGAACATGCTGATTACGAATATAATATTAATTTATAAAATTATTCGTTACTTTTATCATTTTATCAATTTTTTTGCAAAGTTTGAGTTAAGGGGATGGGAGTTAACACAGGGAGATAATAGAGCATGCTAATTACTAACACAGCTTGAATAGGGAATTGACATGTAGACGTGGGCACAGGAAAAGGTTGTACAGAGATAGGAGTGAGAGCTATCATAGTGTTTTGACATGGCCGAGCGGAGCCGGGTAAGCCAGCTAGTTACTGATATAGCTCAAAGTAAGCTGTCAGCCATAAAAGCGAAACTTCGGGGTTATAATTTTTCAATGAACAGGGTGCAAAGAAGTTCTGCTTTTTGGTACGTGGTTTTCTTCCTGTTTGTCAAAGCAGCACAAAGAAAGTGCGCTGAGTTGCAAGTATACTTCTGATGCTCTTTATTGCATAGGATATAAAGGATCTGACGGTGTCAAATCGAAACTTCGCAAGAGGATATTAACTTTGCACCAACATATTATTAAAGAGGATTAGTCCATTTACCTAATTACAATTTGTAGTATTAATTGGTTAAGGAAGTGGCTTCAAAATGCACTCCTGTTAGATATTGGTGATGTTAGATAGCAGAACCAAAAGTCCTGGAAACGCATCTCAAATGGCCACTATTGACCCCACTTGATGGAAATGAGCGGACTGGTGCTTTCAAGGCGCGTTTTCAGGATTTAGCGCACGAATTGAAGGGTGGGGGTTGGGGCTGAGATGTACTTATGGGGTGGGGGGAGGGGAGTATACTATCCAACGTCATCAACATCCTGCAGGTTTTTATTTTGTCGAGCCACTGCCTGCAAATGCAGATCATATTTCGTTGAATTTCGATATGGTATATTTCTCAACTATGAAAGCAACAATGGTAGATATTGTTTTTTGGTAGCGTTAATTATTGGAGTCATTAGTTGGAAAGGGTTTTTTGAGTAGAAAGGAGTCAAGTGTATAAAAGGCAGCTGGCATGTACATATACAGGGTATCCCAAAAAATGTGCGCACTGTTTGATTGTTAGTAACTTCCTTGCTTTGATGTCTTTCGCCGTCAAGTACCATTCTCTAGAGCGAGGTTCAACTTAGATTTGCAGTATGGAGCAAATCATCTAAGGATCTTCGTTACTATAGGATTACGGTAAGAACTTCCAGCCAGAACCATTGTGAAATATATTGTGAGATATACCATTTGACAAATT